TGACGAGAAATGAAACAGCAACAACAAAACAAAAAAAAAGGTCTTACAACAAAAGCTTTTGCAACTCCAGTTGGATTTGAATTCAACTGTGAGCTGAACCGTTGTTGAGCCGTTTCATCGGCAATCGCCGGCGAACCTTCCATTCTGCGAATATTGAATTGTGAGAAATGCGCAAAAAAAACAAACAAACTGCACAACTACACACTGGTCAGTGCCGAATGCGTATCAACCGAACGCAACAAGTGCAGTTGTATCGCTTCTTCCGATGATTACGATAAGCGATAACACTACAGTTATGCATGAGTGCGTTTGGAAATGTGCTGGATGACTCTGCATGTACTTGACAACGAATACGATAGTTAAGCAGCTTTGTGTGCAGAAGAGACATTTTCCACAGATTCGCTTATTATTGATATTAATTAAGCCGTCCGTATGTGTAATCGCGCACATCCGTATCTATAGACGTATAATGAACTATTGAACAAATTTATAAATACCTACGCAATATGAAAGCAAAAACTCTTGTTGGAACACACATAAGTTTGACGTAACGCGTGCAGTGACGGCCATGAGACTACATTCAGAAGGTACATCTGTCTCACGGTGGATATTCTTCATGTTACACGTAAGTGATAAAATAGCTGAACTATTTTTAACAACACCTCTTGAATGAATAACGCAAAACAGAAAACTGTGATTAGAAGGGATTTGTTTCATTCAACATAGCGTTCCAATAGGAGGTAGTTAAGCACTTATAATGTTGTACGTTTAATTAAATTTCCGAGCATCCACTTATCAATTGTGTAATATAGCATGGAATTAAGATGTTGACGAAGCAGTTCGGATTAGCTGCATTCGCTGATTAGTGATTAGTGTTGGATGCAATAAGTTTGACGTTTAGAATAGAATATCATAAATGATTTCTCTGATGCATAAATTGAAAATTGATTTTACGGGACGTTTCGATGCAGTGTGCGAATTGCACACAGAGTCGGATTCATATTGTCTGTAATGAATCGCGAATAACATTATGGCATGAATTTTAAACATTCCATTCGATGGAACTTTTGGGTAACTTTTCAAAAGGCAGATGAGAGGCTTGTTTTTTTATTAGTAGATAGGAAGAATGCTTATTTTTAAACTCTCACCAAATCTCCAGATGCTTAAATTTTCAATCATTACAGCAAAATTAGCCTTTGAGGTGGTGATATTGAAATAGCAGTATGATCCTATTTTGTAACATGCTTCTAGAGCAAGTAATGTATCAGTCAAATTTAATCTACTCAGTTTGCAGACTACAAAAATCATCGATGAGCAAAAAGGCTTCACGGTCATCAGACATAAAACAGATAATACGAAGTCCAGAACACCAGCAATCCTGTTTCGGAATATTCTCACCTCCACTGAATCGACNCTTTCTCACCATTTAATCACTATAAACTTACAAACTCAAAATGTGTTAAATTATCGAGTGATTCAAGTTACTGACAGTTTGTAAGTTAATATTGGGAAATGCCTGATTGATGATAACCAATTCATCCTCTAGTAACTGGCTTGTAAATTCAGTCTTGAGCCAAACCTGAATCCGTCAGCTTCCAGAACACGCAATTTTTGGATACTCCTTTATTACACAGCATAACACACGACACAAAAACAGTAACCAAATATCGGAAATGAACAAACCACAATATTGCAGCACAATAATGACAATAAACTATCATAAATTCGAATGCAACGATCGATACAAATTGAGAGCATTCAACTGTGAAAGCACTCAGAGACCCTGTGAGCATGGTTATCATAATATTAGAATGAACAATAAGGTTGCTTAATAAGTAAAATCAATTCGTTTGTTCAATGACTTGTCAGTATCATCTGAAACGAGTCGTCCTTGTTCACCTTCGAACAGCACAGAAAACTCCTGATATACAACGAGAACAGTTGACGGTATTTATCGCTGAACATACAATATATACAAATATTTATCGATGCATTCGTCATCACAAGCATGTTCGACCAGGGCACTGCTGCAGCGTACAGCTCATTCATATCCAGCTTCTCCAGGATATTCACTACAAAAGCCTGCAAACGNAGGCTCTATTTTAATTGACGTCTAGCACACACAACTTCTGTGAATTGCTAATGTACCATATAAAATATAACATTTGATTTAGAAAATCTCCGAAATTTGTGCCTTCAAATGTAGACTTTGGCATGTGATTCGAATGCAAAATTCGAACAAACGACTTTCGCATTCATCTATTCCATTGATTTTGAGTGCATATGAATTGTTCTCAAACACCAGTTCTGAGGCTCACAGTATGTTTTGGATCAGTGATAGAAGTATGTTGACGAAAACAATAAGCAAATGAAAATACCGATGGACCGCTATGATGACGAGTGTATTCACAACTATAAGAATTGTGAATGGTATTGCGAACATAATTAGCGTATAAGCCCATTCGTAGAAAATTTTCCTATAGAGTGGATCCATTCGCAGTTCGGTCGGTAGAAGCACCGGAAGTTCGGCACCTATTAATTGCATATAGCAGACGTCCGCAATGTAAACCTGAATCCATCAACAATTCATTTATTATACGGATAAGTGAACATCACAAATTAAACTACTAGTACCCTCCTGTAAGCATTGAGATGCACTCATCGAACCGATACAATCGAGAAAATCGCTCAAACTTTCGCTATGCAATCGATTAATGAAACAACGTTTCTTGTTCGGATTAATTGACAAGTAAACACCTACTACGCAAACGGTTGTCAGTATTTTTACAGCTGATTTGTTGACGAATGAAAGAACGACGAACAAAATAGAACCACAAAACAGCAATTTCATTTGGTAATGAAGCACAATTCTACTGCGAAAAAGGCTCACCCCAGACTACTTCACGACAAAAAAACGAAAAACCACCACCAACAGCTGCTCGTTTGAACGGGAGCAAAGTCGAGGAAAATTTTTTCAAATGAATACAGCTCAAAACATGAACAGTCTGGACGAATCATAAAGCGAATTCAACGGTTCAATGAGAACGAATAAACAATTTCTGGTGCAACGTGATTGAAACGGACAAAAGATTTATTGTTCAATAGATTCGGAAAAGTTACGTCAACAATTGCAAAACAGTCACTTCGATGCTGTGAAATATTCATCATGCATCTGCTGATTCGCTGCAACTGTTCAAACAGCTGTGCCGCTTAATTACTTGTGATAAACTTATTTTGTTGCTAATTTCAGCAACTTTAAGCGCATTCGTGCTCTTCAGATTTAGCCAACAATAAATTACCCGAACGTTTTATGAGAACCACAATAAATTAGCGTTTTTTTTTTTTTGCGAGTGCTTATAAAACCAACAGGTGAATAAATTGATTGAGGGCAAGAAAGGAGACGTATGGCAAACCTCGAAAAAACGTGTGGAGTTGAACAGGACAGATGCAACGATGACACAGAAAATAAGCGTTTTTACGTTTCTTTCGGTGAGCAGTTCACCGGCTTTGAACGGGAAACAAACTCCAACAAAACGATGTATTGACATCGCGGTCGTCATCCAGACACTCACCGTTTGTGCTAGTGTCATAAATGCGTACATATATGGTGTTGAATAGTAACTGCAATAAATACTTTTCGATCACCAATCAATCTATTCCCAACAGTTCAGTGATTATATCACGTCACTATTGAGGATAAATTAAGTGTAAAAAATGAATGAGATGATGCAAGTTATATAAGGATGTTAATTAAGTGTAATAAAGCAATTTCAGTGTTTCTAGATCCCGATGCATATAAATTTGTGATCATGATGAACGTTTCAAGATCAGGAAGAAAAGTGATAAATTCATGTTTGATTTGGATGAAGTGCTGCCGAAAGTATTTATTTGCAACTAGATGAATTTGAGAAGCAATTATTGCTAACGAACGAACGCAAATAATTACAGGAAGTCAGAATGGCATGCGGTCCGCTGATTATGGTCTTGTTGAGTAGAAATAAAGAGGATGATTGATTCCATCATAATATTAAGTGTAATATAATTGATTCGAAAAGATTCTGTGTATGTAGATGATAACATGTATAAACGATCGTTTGCTTCGAAAATTTTGCCTCATTCGAAATGCATAGCAATGAACAACGAGATGTTATTTGAGCATATTGAACAAGGAATGTTCCAATTAAATATTCATTGAAATGCGCCCTCAAATGGTACTTTGAACAAACTTTCAAATGTCATCACTTCTCTTATAATCAATTTGGAGACAATTACTCGACATGTTGATCACGCAATAACGATGCATTTTTAGTAGCTGTTCAGCCGCAGGCAATTGAAAGTGCTTTCGAGTTAAAGACAAACCAGTTGAATTATTTAGTGTTTTTTCGTTTGTTGCATGAGTTTCCGTGCTGTTTGAGTGCACTGGAAAAAGTTTGTTGGATGTATGCATGATAATTTGCGATCGAATTAATTCAGTGACTGCGTTCATTCGCAGAATGGATATTTCGTGATCTTTCATGAAATGATCGTTTCACCGAAGCTAAATCAATACTCTTTCTTGGAAACTAATTTCGCTACAATACAACAAAATGAAGTGTGATGAAATATGAAGAGCTTCAAAATTTCTTATACTTAATGATGTGGTAAAGAAGTGAATATCAATGCACCTTATTTAGGTTATTCCACGAAAACCGAAAACTTCATTTGAGTTACTTTGGTTGCGTCCAAACAATTTATATGCATTGCATTTCCTCGATATTCGATGAACACTGGCTAGCAACGTGACGTGATGCAATATTGCAGTGAATCAATCATACAAATTCACCACAAAACTCAAACGAACTGCGATGGAATATGAATATCCGAATGAGCATGCACGTATCATTCACAAAAACAGTGATGGTGCTTTTAGGCTCACCTAATTGCGGTTGCACTCCACCAGTGAAGAACCTCACCGAGTCGTGGCAGTGTGAGCACAAAAAATGCTCCGATGAGAATGACTGAATCTGATGCAGCCAACAACATCAAATACCAGTTAACGCACTGCATTCGCATGTGACGATGTGAGAATATTCGAATTGACATTGCGTTCGCCATTAGACCGATCACGATGAACGGTAATGCTAGTACGCCTAGAAATTATCTGTGACATTCACAAACGTTCAGTTTCATATTCTCATCATTCATTCAGCAACCTTCCGCTTCATACTCAACTGCCTTTGAGCAAAAGCTACTGCAGCAGCAGATGGCTGCAGCTACAATTTCGACAGCGTGAATCGACGTTGCAACGGTCGACGTTAGAGCACGTTGAATGTTACCGTCGATGAAAAACGCCCTCGAAAGAGAAACAAATGCGGTGAATTGTGCCGCCGCTCATTTGAAAATTAACAAGCGATGAACAATAGAAGTGTTTTTGTGTGTGTGCTTATTTTATTTCGCGTTTGTTTATTACAAATGAGACATCTGATGTCAGTTTTTGTCCGAGCAGAGTTAGTTGCTCGNATTGGAATAATCAATTTTATTGCGCAATTCTGATTTGTCGTCGTTAGCTCAGTAGATTAGCTAGCTTACGGGCGTGTAAATGAATCAGAAAAACTAAATGGATTTTGCATGATTTATTAGCTGTGAGAAGTCGTTATCGTTGTATTCGCATTTTGCATGACGGCGAGGCGCAAGAAAACTCTACGCAGACGAAGCAATCAAGAGAACTGAACCTTTAGTGGGTTTCCGGTAGGAATTAGGGAAAAACTTCTCTCGAATGCACACTTCGAGTGTATGTACTCTAAATTGTATTTCCGTATTTCATTTGGGTGTTATGCTCTAAATTGGATGCTCTAAAGTGGGTGTTAAGCTCTAAATTGCAGTTTAAAAACACTCAATATCACATATGTGGAAAATGAAGTAATGCAATGAAATATGGAATGTAGTTGAAAAACTCATCATCTGTAGAAGATGTGAGCGCTTAACAAGAACCACTCACTCAATTTAAAATCGTAATGACTGGATATATTTTTGGTTTGTTGGGAATAATTATGCTCACACAAAAGGTCAAATAATGAGCGTAAACAGAAACAACGATAGGAATTAATTGAAAAAATGTCTCACCGAGAAGAAACTTCTCGTTCGGTTCATAAAAATCGTATTCTTCCGTACAATTCCCGAAGCTCATCGTTCTATTCGCTGTTTTCTGGAAAGTGTTCGATTAACAAACACATCAAGAGGGAGCAACGCAACTGTCGGACGTCGAACAAATGACCGTGACAGGATTCATCTGGGTAAAAAATGCACTTGTCAATCGCGAAGAAGACTTAGAAGAAAGTGAATTTGTTTTTCTGATAAATCTGAATATGACAGATCCTATGTTTTGTCATCCTATTGAGCCAGATTTCGCTTACTCGGTGCAGGGCTCATTAAACTCGCTGACTTTTGTGGTGTACGTGACATTATTCTTGATCGAATTCATTTACATTTAAAATGGATTTCTTTCATTATTCATATTAATACAAATATTAATTCGTATTTTAGTCCGTCAGAAATGAAAAGAAGAATTCGCACATATTTTTATGCACCATTAAGATACGATAACAAAAGTGAATGAACGAAATTTTATCCTGATCGATCATGCAAAAAGTAGATCTTCAGCCCAACAAGACGGGTCTATCATATTGAATTCAAGTGTAAGCTCAAGGAATGCATAGCACTAGAAGACATTTGATGAATACGTTTGATCATCCGCATAAGCGAATAGATGTAAGCAGTGAGCGCGATGATCGACGTCTACGGATGATGAGAAGTTTGGTGTGGAAAGAGCGAAAACGAGACTGGCAAAGGGGAGACATCGCATTCGAACGGAGAAGCGAACTTGAGAAAGAATGAAGAAGTTACGTTAAACTCGTAAAACAGTTGCTGTTTTAGCGAATCAAACGAACGAATGACTGAACTGAGGAGTTGAATGGAACACTGAACCAAGTAAACGACGTGAACATAGACGATTCTTGAAGTATGAAAGTACCAATAAGATTACAATAATGATAATAATAATAATAATAAAAACACTAACATTGAGCATTAAAAGTCTTGCTGATAAGCGAATTATGGTAATTAAGCTTCGTTCAACTCTTCACTCAGCTGCATTCCACTCGTGATTAGGAGAACAATGAAAACACATAAATCATTCCGTGACAAATCACTCTTGCAGTTGTTATATACAATCGCACAAAACCACAAACTTTACGCTATTCATTGAGAATTGAATTGAAATTCACTTATGTTCACTTTAACAAGTTGTGATCGAATCGTTCCATTGAAGCCCATACCTTTCCTTACTGCACAATTCGTCAACAATCTATTCAGACCAGAACTAGACACTCAGTTCAACAACACTTAGGCCTTGATCAGTTGATTTGTTTGCTTCGGAAAAATTTCTCATTTAATAGCCGCCCATCTTCCCTTCATTGCTCACAATTCTTCAACAATCTGTTCAGACCAAAAATAGGCACTCAGCGATGTTCAATTCAACAGCAACAATCAAGCATATAGAGCTTGTACAGCTGGTTTGTTTGATTCAAAGAAGTTGTTTTGCTACTTGCATACAACTCGCAATGATTTCATGAACGCTATTCACATTGACTGAGATGAAATTATGAAANTTCGAGAAGCTTATGCTGGACTGCAGCAATATTTGAACGATACGAGCAGGCTTTCATCACTGACCAAGAAAACGAAGGGAATATCGTGTATCGTGTGAAATTCAATCGGATATAAATGAGCGCTGACAGAACAACGGAAGGTAGATATAAGTGAACTGTTGGTCGTGAAACAAGTGATAAGCGAATGCAAGCGAAAAAAAAAAGAAAAAAAAATTTCTCAGCGAAGATTTATTATTATACAGCCGTCAAAAATCGATTCCATATATCAAAGTGATGAACGATAAAAGATTGTACTGTTGCTGACTGAAGCACAAAGGTTATGTGATCCGATTAGCGAGACTCTACCAGAACTGTTATTTTGTAGAATCTGCTCAGTTTGAACAGGTGTGTAGGTTTGGCTAGAATTTCGTGATGTTCAAAGCGCTCTTTTATAGAGGTATTAGGTGAGCTGATATATGGTGAATGTTTGATGAATTATTCACAATGAAGAATGCAAGCATAGAACTGGAATGGGTTCGTAAATGATGCTGAAGATGATATTTGAGAAAGTTGAACGAGGATATAACTTGAAATATTCTCAAGTAATCATCTTTCAGCACATGTCAACCTTCTTTATTGCCCATATGACAGCAACATAAATAGATAGATAGACGAGAACATCAATAGATAGATAGATACCTTCAGATGTTTGAGTAGGTGAAATTCAAACATAAGCGTTTTCTTTTCACTTTCAAAATGTTCCTTCTCAATTTGATTCAGCACGAATTTCACACAAAAACGTTGAACGTTCTATTTATAAATTTAAATTGGTTACATATGTGGCCAGTGGCCCAGCCGAGAATTTCTTGACGAGGGAAGCCTAACGCACAGCAACGCATGCATCAACACATCACATATGATCTCTGATTTCATGCGCCACCCGCTTTTGCGCTTTGTTATTATGTGACATTTTAATTGACGAATGTTAACTAATGAATTATTCGCTAATTGGCAATTATCATAGAGTAACAAAATGAAAAGCGTTCAGAACACATGTAATGAAGTCATATGGTATAGGATCATATGACTTCAGAGCATACGACCAATCACGAATGAAATTACGAATGAGGTGCGAAGAAGACACGGTGAATTTAAAAACTTTCTTTAAATCCTCCATTTTACTCATCAGCTGCTTTGGTGAGTTCGTAAAAGCCTTGGAGATTGTAAGAACGTGGTCGGATTACTGGTGACTGACTGAGATAAGCAATTATTTGTGCGATTCTTCGTATGTCGTATACACGGTAAGACAACGTATGAATTTCGCTTGATTAACCCTTTAAAGCTTGCTGATTGATGTGCTGATGTCTAAAGCAACACCCTCAATTATCAGATGAACGCCATACTCAAACTCCATAAAGACAACATTTTTGTGCAGCAAAACTTGGAAATTTCACTTTTTCAACGTTTATCGGACGGCAAAATCATGCAGTATTCACGTCTAGCCTTTATGACAAGAAAAGAGCCCAGTAGTACCAACCACAGTAGCGCGCAGATACTCTTTAACTTTACACATCTTGATACCTATGTTCAGCTTTCGTTCATTTTTCTTCAAAACACTCAATTTCACTCTAGAACGCCTATCAATCAAAAACGTAAAGCAATCTTCTAACGGAATCTCAACTGAATGTACCATTATAAATCTCCACTTCATACCTTCGTTTTCTGACTAGAAGCTATTAGTGGAAAACAATTAGAAATGATAAAAATCTCCTAAGTGATAAGAGAGCAAATAACAGAATCGACTGATCCAGTTTTAATCACTGACTTCCTACGGAAGCAGAATTGAGACATCCTGTGGTTCCTAAGAGTTTTCTTTGGAGAACGATAAAGCGAATACGATGATGAATTCGATTATTCGTAGTGAATTTGCTGGTAAGAGATTAACTGAGTGAATTCGTTAGGGCCGTTTAATAAAATGTCGTCTTTGGAATAAGCATCAACTGAGCAGTCAACTTCTTAAAGAGGGCATCCACAACGCTCATCACTCATTTGTCGAGCAAGATAAGGTGCGAAACTTTCTCAACTTCTCTCAAATAGCATGATTTCACCATGAGCAAAGTTATCTTCAATAGACGACTAGGGCGATAATTGAACAAAAAAAAAGCATAGAATTGGAGTTGAAACCAAATCTTTCATGAGGAAATCATTTGGAAGAAGCGTTCAAGGAAGTTGCATATGCTTCAACTTCAACACAGATCAAAGTACAATTGCGATCAGTTGTTGAATAGGATGTGCTCATCGCTGAATGCATCTTTAAATTATATTCCATGCAGTCGAATAGCATCACCTTAACACTCCTTGCACAAAAGAACGATGTGTTGTTGCAAATGAATTTGTTTAGCCCGTACAACCTCCACTGAAGCTTTTCAGAGTAATTGCTATCATTACTATTACACAAACCTTTTGGTTTTGAAAAAACGCTCGCAGTGTCAATGATTAAGTGTTTGCGTTCAGCAACACATAATCAACACATTATCAAACCAATTAACAAACCGTTGAATTACACACAGCCAGAGAGATCGAGAGAACAGTGGTGGCTAGTAATCTGACGTTTCAATTCAGCTCGGCTTTCGTCACACAGTGAGTTCAGTGTAAAATCACTCATTCATCTGAATTTATCACATTCGAATATTGAATTAGATGAAT